CTATTAGTCACTCACCGAGAATCTGTCGTGGCAAGGAATCTCTCAACCTCGAGGAGAAGGTTGACGTGGGTTGACATGGTCCTCAGGAATATGGTTTAGTGATGATTTTTTTTTTATTGCTTATTTCTTATTCATTTCTTTTGTCAGAGCCAGGTTGGACTAGATGATCTTTAAGGTCCCTTCCAACCTGGACGATTCTATGATTCTATGAGTAGAACCTTAAGTGTCCTCACCAAAGGGGAGATCCTGGTGTGCAGCCCGCTGCCCTGCAGGAGAGCTCAGAGGGCTCTGGGGGTGTCCACTATTTATACAATAAGAAAATTGACCTACAGTCATATTCTCATGGGAACAAAACTTCTAGATCCCCACTCCAGACAGTATTCTGGCTGTGTTGTCAGCCATCCCCCAGGGTCCAGGTGGAAGTTGTCACAACTGCTGCTGTGATGGCCGTGGTGGCCATGGCCCCAGCAGGAGCCGGGACAGGGAGAAGGAGAGGGAAATGGGGAGAGCACAGCACCACAAACTCACTTCATGTCCTTCCTGCAGGAGCGGGGCTGGGACCCCCCCAGCCACCCCACCCCGCATCCCCATCACAGGGGATGAGCGATGGCAGCTGGGGGACGGGAGGGACAAGAAGAAAAGACATCCCTCAGCATCCCCATGGTCTGGGATGGGTTTTTTTGTGCCAGGCGGGGAGGTATAAGGGAGGCGGTGGCTGCCATGCTGTTTGAAGGCTGCCCCGTCCCGTCCCCCCCTCCACGCCGTGTTCAGGTTTCCTCTCTCCCCCTCCGCAGCCGCTGGCCCGTGTTGCTGGCAGCCAGCCCTGCCCGCGTGGCAGCCACGGCCGCCCGCCCAGCCATCCCTCCCTCCCTGCTGCCCGGAGCCAGCGGCTCCTCACCTCCCCTCACCCCGCCACCAGAAATCACTGCGGCACAAATTTTCCACTGGAGATGCGTGTGAGACCAGAATAGGTTTCCAGGGTGGTTTTTTTCTTTCCCCCCCCTGCTGCCTAGAGGAAAAGCCAGAGAATGCTTCCCAATGTTTGCTTATAAAACATCCTCCTTCAGGGCATCCCCATTGCAGGGATGAGCCCCTCGGGCTGTGGGGTGCCAGGCTGGGGGTGCCAGCCCCCCTACTCCCCCTGGCAGCCCCAGCCCTTCGTCCATGGGGCCTGGCGAGCTGAGTGCCACCGAGCCATCACCCAATTTTTCTAGGGCGCTGCCGGGGCTGGGCTGGATGCTGCGAGGACGTGGGGCTGGCGGTGCAGGGCTGGGATGTGGGGCTGGCGGTGCAGGGCTGGGCTGCCAGGGGCAGGAAGAGAAGAGGGATTCCCAGCTCCCGAAGAGCGTTTGATTTGGTGTTTTGTTAAAAAAACAAAATCCGCAGGGCAAAGCTGGTTGGGCTTAAGCGGGTTTTGGCACACTGCTCCTCTGCTCCTGCCAAATCCATTTTGCAATCTCCCTGGAGCAGGGGCTCTCCCGGAGCCTGCGCTGCTGAGGGGATGGACCCTGGCTCCAGCCGCGGCACCCACCCCTCTGCACCCCCACGGCCGGGCTGCAGCTGCCGGCCCCGAGGCCTTGAAGGACATCTCGGGCATTTCTGTGGGGTTCAACCATCTCGAGCCTCAAAGCAGGCTGTTGGCAAGCCGAGAGGAGCCCCCCGCAGCCCGGCTATGCAAGGGTAGGTGTATAAAGCCCACCAGCTCCCTCGCTGCCCCCTGCCCGTGCACAGGTCTGGCTCTGGACCTCGGTGCTCAGGACCCGATGTGCCAGTGCCACTCACCTGGCAGAGCTGTGGCTCTGGGCACCAGCCCTGCACAGCCACATAAAGCTGCTCCTGGCCCAGCTGGTCCCTGGCAACCATGTGGCAACCCCACCTTGCTCAGAGGGGGGTGGTTTCTTTGCCATCGGACCTCTATTCAACCTGCAGAGCAGGTATGCTGGGTGCAGCGCCAGCAGGAACAATCCCCTGGCAGAGGAGCTGCAGAGCAAAGCCCTGGCAGAGGCAGGGGCATCCTCTGCACCCACCAGCCAGAGCCCTGAGCTTGCCAGGATGGGATTCAGGATACACCTCCAGGCATGCCTGGGTCAGTGGGGCAGAGGAGAGAGGGGACACAGTGCCAGGGGTGCTCCCCATGATGCCAAAGCCTCCCACAGTCCCTTATGGCACCTTCCCCCCCGAAGGACCAGGTTTTCCCAGGAGCTGGTGCAGGCTGCTGGCGCTGCAGGCTGAGCCCTCCTGCCCTGCGGGCTGCCCTTGGCACTGGCAGGGCACAGAGAGGGGCAGCCGGGCACAACTCCGCTGCCTCTTCCCACAGCATCACATTTTCGTTCTGTGAGTGGACTTCTTTTGCCTTTCCAGTGACTCGTTAAGATCCCCTGGACTTGGATGACATCATCCCTTCGAGCTTCTGTGGGATGTCTCATACCCCAACAATTTCACCTGAAAACATGCTCTCTTGCAAGCTATTTATGGCTGTTTTACACACACAGACACATAATGCTGGGCTTTGGGACCCTTCTGCGGCACGTCCCCGCGGCAGACACTCGACAAACGGGTCATTTCTCTACCCAGCACAGTTCCCTGCTGCTCGCTGATTATGCTCTGAAATGAGATGGAAGGTTATTTGTCTCATTTATAATTTTGAACGAATGACCGCAAATCCCAGGAGCGGGGTTTCAGATAAGGGACACAATGGGAGGGTGAAGCTGAGGACACACACGGTGACATATAAAGCAGCCTGGGCCGGAATGAGCTACGCTCAAACCAGCTGAAGGCCCTGACAGCAACTCAGAAGGCATTGTTTCGGCATTAAGTAGATAGCTAATTTTTTCAAAGAAATGGAAATATTCAGCTTCTGCAGTAGGAGTCGAGCAAGCTGATAAAAGCAAGGAGCAGAACTGTAACGTTCCAGTGTTTGGCCTGGTACCTAGTTCATAACTCATGTAAAGTTTCCACCTTGTCTATAAATCACAGGCCAGGAGGAGCAGAGACAGCCCTATTAAATGACTCTATCTTTTGTGTTTGTTTGGTTTTTTTGTTAAAATCAACGATCGCGGGGTTGCGCAATAGATTCCCAAAATGTCCTTCTGGGGTGGTTCACGGGCCGTCCTGTGCCTGGGGAGAAAGGGCAGAGGAGGAGGGTGAGGTGGTGGTTTGCTGGTCTCTCTGGAGCTGGCAGGGGCTGGGGATGAGTAACCGTGTCCGCGGGTGCTCCTGGAGCCACCACATTGTCACTCCCTGCCTCTGCCCTCCCTGCGCTCACCCAGCAGCATCTGGGACAGCATGGGCTCCTCTCCTGAGCGTCACCGGGGCCTCACGCCAGGCTGCAATTAAAAAAATCCCAAGCCCTAGGGTAGGAGTGCAGGAGAAGGTGGTGGGGCAGGTGGCTGGTGCTCCGTAGGAGTACTCTGCTCTCCCCCTGGCAGGGGCAGCTGCGGGGAGCACGGTCCTTCCAGGGCTCCGAGACTGATGCATCGGCTCACATTAGTCAGAGAGGAAACAAGGGTTAAGAAAAAGCCTTTCATAAACTGCCAGGGACAACCCACCTGTGAGCATTTTCTTTAACAAAACACCTGCACCCTTTCCAGCACTTGATGGCAAAACAAAATCTAAGGTCCACGGCCCTTCAGAACTGGCAGGGACGGCAAAGGGGTGTTTAAAAACCCACCTAAACCCTCTCGTTTGTATCTTCCTTCACGTGTGCCTAAAGCACGGCCCGTCCCCTGCTCGCTCTCAGTAAAAGCAAACTCCATGGAGTTCTGTTTTACAGAATCACAGAATCTTCTAGGTTGGAAGGGACCTTAAAGAGCATCTTGTCCAACCATCAACCTAACTGACAAAAATAGACACCCACACAACAACCAAGGAGCATCATCACTAAACCATACCTCCCAGCACTACATCAACCTGTCTTTTGAACACCGCCAGGGATGGGGCCTCAACCGCCTCCCTGGGCAGCCCATTCCAATGGCTGATAACCCTTTCAGGGAAAAAATTTTTCCTAATCTCCAGCCTGAACCTACCCTGGCGCAACTTGAGGCCATTTCCTCTTGTCCTGTCGCCTGTGACTTAAGAAAAGAGACCAACCCCCATCTACCTACACCCTCCTTTCAGGTAGTTGTAGAGAGCAATAAGGTCTCCCCTCAGCCTCCTCTTCTCCAGGCTGAATAACCCCAGTTCCCTCAGCCTCTCCTCCTAAGACTTATTCTCCAGACCCCTCACCAGCTTTGTCGCCCTTTAGTCTGTTACTCCCGAGGAAACCCCCTCCGCGGTGGGATTAAGACGAGGAAAACGTCACCCTCAACCAGAAATCAAGCCCAGGATGAAAGGAGTGACGGGGAGATCCAAGTCAGGTCAGAGGACGGGTTTGTCTCCCTCCAGGGGTGAGCTTTCCCCAGCGTGCACGCCATCTCCATGGAGCGGGGAGGCTGGGGGGCAGTGGGATGGTACCCCCGGCTGCAGCTCCCCCGAGCTTCCAGCCAGCCATGGGGACAGGGGGATGAGGCATCTCGGGGAGCAGCAGGGAGACGGGCTGTGCTTCCCTCTCCCTGCCCAGCAGCAGGGCCCCGCCAGCCCAGGGCTTCCCGCCCGGCACCCACGTAAACACAGCACACGCGGCCCCGCAGCCTTTCACCTACTAAACTCTGTTTACGTATTGCACTCCTCGCTTTTTTTTTTTATTCTCCCCACTGCAAACCAATACCTCTGTGTGTGTGTTGCATTTGGCAAGGCCATATGGTGTTTTCCTGACATACATTTGAGGCCAGATACCTAATTGTACTGCGGAGAGATTTAAGATGAGAAAACCTTTCCGGGTTATACAGTTTAAGCTGTACAAATAATCACAACCAAAGGCCTTCATAAATCTGTGCGTTTAGTTCAGAGTAGCAAGGAGCTCCTCAAAGCAGTACGAAATATTGACAGGCTGAGACTTCGGAAAGACAAAACAGCAAGTAAGATAAAGGGATATGCTTAGAAAAAGAAATGCCTCTTAAAAGTCCACTTAAACACATTTTTATTTTATGGCAGAAAGAAAAGAGTACTCAGAAATTATTTTAACAGTGAAAAGGTCTTGCCCCGATGGACTAAAATAAGCAGCGCATTATGGCTGAGATTTTCAAATCTGCCTAAGGGATTCAAGCCTGCAACTAAACCAAACAGGGTGAGCATCCAAATCCTTTAAGCAGCCTCAAAAATCCTCCTACCCGTGTGCACAGGGCCACACATATAAGACTAGATAGAGTTTCATGAGTAAAAGGCTTAATATTCCTTTCACCAAAGCAACTATTTCAAGGGATTCCGAGTACATAAATACATAAACATGAACTCCAATGAGCCGCGGTATTTGAAAGCGTGCTCGGTTGGTCTGTCATATGATCTAATCAATACTCATTGTTTATTTAACAACAGTAAATTTGACCCAAAAGTTTCTAAAGCCTCGAGCTCTCCAACACCCAGTGCCAGGAGGATTATTTAAGGGCATTCACCCGGAGTTGCCAAATAGCCCTGCAGTACCCAAACAGACCCACACACCATTTGAGTTTGGCTTGGCCAGGCCCCGTGCTATTAATAGTCATCCCAAAGAGGGGAGGGGGGTCTGTGCAGGGACGGCCACACACAGCTCTGCTCCTAAAAAACATGGCTTTGCTCTATCATCTGTCTCATCCTAATTCAGACTCATAAACCTTCCTTCAGCATGGGCTGCTACGCTGTGTTTCTTTAATTTAACAGCTGCTTTCCAGACGTTGTCTTATTTTTAATATACATTCATTGGTATCTCAGCTTTGCCTTCCATAGGTCTGCTGACCAGGATGGTGTACCACGGATTTCATTACAATTGCAAGCGTTCACAACACCTCTAGGTGCTCCTACATGAAACCTGAGCCTTTAATTCACTGCATGTAAGGAAACAGATCCAAACTGTGGCAGACTGAGGATATGTGACAGCACAGCTCACATACAGCAGAAAATACCAGGGTGGAGGAGAAGGGGCTATTACACCAGCTTTAGGAATTCCCAGGACTTCTCCAGAAGCAAGAAGTCCTGTCAACCTGAAGCCCTTTGCCTGACCAAGGAGCAGGCAAAGCCTTCTGGAGAACTGTTAGGGACGTTACCTGCTCCTGAGAACTATACATTACAGCTTATACTGTACACTCTCATGAGGTTGAGCTGGATTTGAGATTAACACAAAGGAAACCAAAGGGCTTCCTCCTTTTGTCTATACTCATGTTCCAGCACTGGTCCCAGCCAGTGCTCACGGACGATGAAGAGGACCCATGAGGATGGCATCCACCACATCCAGGTTCATGCCAAAGAAGGCTGAATACACAAGCAGAATAAAGTGTGGCAAGTGTGACCCACCTTATCTGACAAAGCCTTTTGTGGGCACAAGAATCCCCCGACCCTCACTCACTGCTTTCTCTTCCACCCACGCTCACATTGGTGCTGGAAATGTCCTTTTTTGGAAGGGCTCTGAGGACGGTTCCCGGTAAGCGCGTGATCCTGGCCGCGCTGGACGGGATGGAGCTGTTTTCTGATAGTTAAAACTGTTCCAGCTGCAAAACAAACACATGTGCACACACAGAGGTTACAACATCGATGTTTCTTTTACAACTGGTGCCATCAAATAAATGAACATGGTCTTCAGGAGTGCTTCTACGAAACCAACAAACAACTGGATGCAAGCTTTCTTCTGGTGGAGATCTCTCTTTCACACTCTGCCTTTCAGTCCCTGCTCAAACAGCATCAACTGCAGCATCACACCCTTTCTTTCTGCCCGATATCTGCATTTGCAGTCCCTAAACAAAGGCAGATGAAATAGTATTTTGCAAGAATCATTTTTTCCTGCCACTACTGCAACCCAGACAGTTTTCAACAGCATCTGTGAAAAGGCTTCATGGAAGTTCACGCTGGAAACAAAGGCGTCAGTCAAGCTTCAGGCATTCCTCTTGGTGTAGAAATAGAGCTTAACTGCAAAACCCACCTCAAGTTAACTCAGCAATAGGAAAATACTACAAAAATGTTGAAAGTGAAAGAAAAAAGCATTTCACAAACCCAAACATTTCTGGAAGTAATGAGAAATGAATGTCAATTCTCTCCTGGGAGAACAAGGCTAGTCATACACAAGCCTTCTCCTGACTTTTTAAAATTATTTTTAAATACAAGCTACATTTCTGAATTAGCTCTGCAAACTGCAGGGATCACAAAGCCTTTGACCCCAGTCTTAAGGCTACACCCAAAAAGACAGACAGCTACAACCAAAGGCTTAAGGCTACAACCAAAAAGACAGGAGCTTGAGAAGAGATTTGTGGTGGTCAAGTACATTTCTGAAAACCCCGCAGAACAGAGCTGCTGCCCCTCAGCAGAGCAAACCTCCAAGAGATGGTGAGAGTCAGCTGCCACACTGCCCACCACATCCAGGGGGAACGGGGAAAATGGAAGCTTCTGACAGGATAAAGGCAACCAAGCTCTTACCCAGGACAGCTGCTCTGGGAAGCCTGGTTCCCTACAGGTTCTGAAATGATCCTCTACGTGCCCCGTCTCAACAGCTACACTCCTTTGTGCCCTTTCAAGATCCTCAGGCTTCCTCACCTTCTTCCCATCACAGTATTTCCTCTGTCCCCACAGTTCTTATCCAAGTCCCTTGGCAGCAAAGGGCAGTCTGTGCTGTGTCCACGTCGCAGCCATCCACATGAACAGCAGACAGCAAACAGGCAGCCCCGAGCCCCCTCGGATGGTCCCTCCATCAAACTCTTCATTGCCCAGCTGATGTTCTCGTTAGCCTTGCAGGCACTCACAGGTGGACCCACCTCACCTCACTTCACCTGCTTTGTAGATTCACCCACCTGTGGCAGTTGCCCAGGCACCCGTTATCGGGACAGGAGATGGAGTCAACAGAGCTCAGAGTGCAATTCATCCCACATCAGAGAAAAATTAAACATGACCGAACCCCGTGGTTTGTAGTTACTAGCACTCCACTCACTATAAAAAGAGCTATAAAAACAGATGCTTGTGTTATAAGCACCTAATCTTAGATGAACTCCACCCATAGTGACTCTGGGTACATTTATATTCACTTGGACCTTGGGCCCAGGGTCAAACAGTGCAAACTGCCTCGCTTCCCAGCTGCTCACAGCAAGGGGCCTCTGGAGCAGATGATTTTCAGCCCTGGAGAAGACGCACTTCCCACCTCCCCAGGCCTCCTCAGCCTCCCGTGCCAGTGTACTCACGAGCTCGGGCCACGTTCCACAGCCCTTCATGGCTGTTTTGCAACAGACCCGTGCCTACGCATCTACACCCTTCCAGGCATTGACCTCATCCACCATCCCTTCTTCCCCTCATGGAGAGAAGACTTTGGACCAGGGAGGCAGCAGTCACAGGTGGGTTCAGACTGATGAGGTCTTTACAAGACTGCCTGCCAGCCCTTTAACTCTGGCACACCACTCACTGGTTCCCCATCTCCCATCTGAACAGACTAGAGAATCAGCAATGGGAGGCTGGCAACCACTGCAGAGTCACGGGTACCTTAACCAGCTACACGGGCTCAGTCTGCAATGCAGATCCTATCAGTACAGCATGCACTGTCTACTGTGGATGAGTCAGGGTACTCTTCTTCTAGAAGAGCTTCCATGGTGCCACTTCACATGTTATCTCAAACAGGGCCCACACAGTCCCTTCTCCTTGTTACTGTGGCTCCTGCAGAGTGAACACCTGTGGGACCAAGCATGTCTCCTCTCCAAGGACAAGCTGCGGACACAGGTGACTCTCTCCAACAGTGAGCTGCAAGACCAAAGTGTGTATCATCTCCCATGGTAAGCTGCAGGGTCGAGGCACTTACCCCTGTCAGGAGCTTTAGGAATGAGATGCGTGTCCCTCAAATTGTGCTGCAGGAACAAAGCAAGCAGCACAGAGAAGACCTCAGGGAGCGGTGAGATGCCAGCATCCTGCTGCCACGCAGGAGGTTGGGATGGGCTGCACGTTGCGTTAGCCTGCGTCATCTCCAGGAACACCACTCCACAGGGATCTGCAAAGTCTGGGGGTTTGGCACACCTGATGAAAATCTTTGGGCAAGTTTTTCTGGTCATGAGGGCAACCCCACTGACGGGATTCCCTCCCTGTGGTCTCTGACACAGCGGGCACTGTCTCTGCACATTGTGCATTTGGAGACCAAACAGGGATCTCCTCCCCAGCCCCTCGCGTAGGTCTGAGATCACAGCCCAGATACTTGCACTGAGCAGCACCAAAGCTGGCTTTCACATGGCCTCTCGTTTTAAAAATGTAAAGCAGTATTGCTCAATCCTTACACTGCTGCCAAGAGAGTATCGGAGCAGCAAAGCTGTGACTCTTAGGTCTCTTGAAATGAAACACAAGGCCTTGGTCTCCACGCGTCCCTCAAGTGTGCCCTCTTCCCTTAGTTCCTGTGACATCTTAAGGAAAAAAAAAAATAAATAATTGAATCAATTACTAATAGCGAGTTGATTGCATAACAGCATGCCGATGGTGTGCTTAGTACCGTGATGCCAAGGGTGTGGTGTGTGAGCCAGGCCATTGGGACGGGGCAGCAGCGGGACACGGGTGAGCTGAAGTCCTGCCGGCACGTACAGGAGGAGTGTATCGGGTGCAGGGAGCTGAACTGGATGCAGTTTGGTCTGGACTGGATGTAGGACACCCCACCTGCATTTTCCTGTCCAGAGGCTGCTTTCTTGCTTGAATATAAACTAACAGATATGCAATAGGGGTGGGATCAAACATTAGCATCAACACTGCAGGAGCTACTAACACCTCTATCTCATCTGCCATATGGGGCTGAAAGTAGTCGAAAGTTAAAAAATATTAAAGGTAGATAGGTTTAAAGAAAAGAAGGACCTTTGTTCACATGACTTCTATCACAATACCTGCAATGGGAGGTGTAGCAATGCCATTACCTGTGTTAGGAGGAAAGGCAAAGCTGCCCCTGCTGAATTCCGTACCGTACTGAAACGTCACATGAGATGCCCTGGCCACACCACCATCTCCATCCCCTTCATACCTCCAGGACTGAGCCCATCAGAGGAACTCTTGAAACGCAGCAGCCATTTAGTCACTGTGTGACAAGCAAATGCTGTTTTGGCATGGAAAAGCACACAAACCTGTTTCTAATGCTTCTGTTGGGAAAAACATTTATCTGATCCTGTAGCATGCACAGGTGGCTTTGTAGCTACACAAGGTCTTTCTACAACGCTTGGAGGCTGTCTCCTTCTCATCTTGCTGGCTGACAGTTCAGCTTCTAGGTATCTGATTTTGTTAGCAGCAATTCCAACTGATCAGTTAGGTTTTATACTAAATAGTTGACTAAATCATGACACTGGGAAAACTCTGAATATAGTAAGTACACCATTCAAAGTGGTGGAATGCACAGACCCGTATGTCATCCTTGCAAGAAGAAAAGGTTCTCAGTTGTGTTTTCCGGTATTTTCCAAGCTCTGTCTGGAAATCAACAATGCCACTTTGCCATACTCTTCCACAGCTCTCCAAAGGAATCCACATTCTTGTGAAATGGCATATCTCCACACCACGCGTAGGACCCAACAACGTTGCCCTTTACAGGAGGTATCAACAGAACCATCGGTATTGCACAAGTGAAGAAAGACCACACAAGATACTAAACAAAAATAAACACATGGTCACACCGTGTGGAGTGAAATAGGAAGCATGATCTGCACGGAAAGAATCAACAGATCATTCCAATATTAACTCCTGATTTCCACTATAGAGAATTCCCAGGATTTCTTGGACCAAGGCATGCAGCAAGTATGTGACTTGGCTGGTTTGAGATGACCAGACACCCGTTCTGGCTGCCCTTCCAAAAAGATAGGTGGGAAGCAGGGCTGGAGATGGTACCATTGTCCTGTCCGGTGTCCTGAGAAGGAACACGGTCCTTGTGACAGCCACAGGACGTGGGCAAAGTTCTGGCTGGTGTACAACTTGGTCCTGCACTGAAGGAATTGGATACAAAGCCTCTCACAATCTTTAGTGGATACTGAAGCAATCATCTACTCACCTCAGTTCTTTCTGCTCTGAATAAAAGAACAGTCTATCCCATGGTTTTCTGTGAAATAGGTCCATGTCTAACATCAGAGGTTAAAAACCCCCCTTGATGGCCTGTCACAAGTGGAAAACGACTCTTGCTTATTACTATGTAGAAGCCAAGAGTTCAGGATAAAGGACCAACTTAAAACACCTTCTCAATTCTACACGCTAAAGCCGAGATAAGCCACAGATAACAGAGCTGTATTTCTTCAGAGTGGGGTGAAATTCAGGAGACCGGAGTTCTGCCTGACTTAGCCCCCAGACTGCGGGACAGGACTGCGGTTACACAGCTGGCCAGTGATTTACCAGCCCTGTTGCCCATCCTCTTCCCTAATTTATCTTCCCAATCCCATGACAATTTAGCTTTCCACATCAGAAGAATATGACCTGCAGGCTTGATAAGTGGTTTTCTGGGAAATTGAAACTTCAGATATAGTGTAATAGGCATACATAAATAACCCACAGGCGCTTCAAAGTCAAAATCCCAAACATTCTCCCAATGAAAAATGCAGACATGTCCGTTTTCTCCAGGGCGGCGTAAAACCACAATCCCCGGCTTCTCTGGGAAACTGAATGGAAAATACAAATACATGTGAACTGACAGTCATCCTTTAGCTGCCTCCAGTGATTGCCAGAGAAAATCAGTTTTACTGAAAACTGCTCATCTGCCAAAAAGGAGTTTCTCTTACCTGGCCTAGGCTTCATTAGGGGTGTTTGAGGGTTTTTTTCCCTCGCCAGGCTGTCTCCTATGGCAGCAGTGAGAACATCAGCACTGCTGACAGCCTCTGAAGCCTTCCATTGAAGGGCGCTGAGCAGGCACGGCAGGACGGGAGCTGCGGTGACTCAGGAGCAGCCACAAACGCTCTGGAGAAAAAGGGCCATGAGCAATACTGTGTAACATGCACGTATGCAGAACCCGGGGTTAGTATCACGTAGGGCTGGGGAGGAACACAGCACTGCCAGCCAAACAGGACTTGCTCCGTCTGGCAATCAAGGCTGGTAAAGCAAACTAAAGTGCGTCAGCTAAAGTCTTAATGACAAATAAGTTCTGGTTTTCACCCGGTATTCTAACAAGCAATTGCAGAACCAGGACAAAGCAGGTTTTTCCCAGGGCTGGGATGTGTGAGAAAAACGGGGCATGAAGACGAAGGGAAAAGAACTCAGAAGACACAAAAAAGGAGACAAGCTGCATTCTTGCTGACTGTATGCTCCACCCCCCTCAGATATCTCATATTTTAATTTCTGCAAGTGCTGTCTGTAGCAGCAGAGACATTTTTCCACTTATTACTAAATGAACGCGAGCAGCGGTCGGTGTGCCAGGGAAAAGAGGACGGCCCCAGACTGTACAACCCTCTCCTGCCCTGAACTCACCCCCCGCTGCCTCCAGCCCTCCTTCCGCCCCCTCCCCATTCTCGGTTCGCTCCCTTCCTTCCGTCCTTCCTTCCATCCATCCTTCCTCCCGTCCCTCCTCTCGTGTCCCCCAGCTGCCACTTTCCTGCCATTTCAGAGCTGCCTCTCCCTGGCCACCCCCTCAGCCTCAGCTGCTCTCAGGCACCCACCGCATCGCTCTGCATATGAAAATGAGCCGTCACATTTTCCAGCCTCTGAAGCAGAGATTATTTTTGGGAGAGGTGGTTTTGACAGCTCTGCCCCGTGGTTCGCAGGCAGAGCACAGGGCAGGCTATGTGAGCGCAGGGGGAGAAGAGGAGGGAGGGTACATCAGCCCAACAGACATGCAGGGCTCTTGGCTGTGCCCTCAGAAGGGACTAGAGTCTCTGAGGAGACATGAAGCTCCCCTGGGGTACGAGAGCCAAGGAGCAGTGAAGTCTCCCCACTTCCGTGGGCTGCTCTTTCCCACCCCAAGGCCAGCTGCAATGCTGCCACAGGATGTGCCACTGAGATGACAGCAGAGCCTGCCCGTGGGGACAGGCACAGTGATGCCCCTCTCACACAAAGTCCCTCACCCCGGCTGCATCCCTGTCACCCCCAGGCCACCAGGCAGTCTCCTACAGAGCCCGTACTGCCAAGTGTGGGCTGCTCCCTGCCGAGGGCCACTGTCAACATCCAGACCTCATCTGAAGATCCAGCCTCAAGGCCCTGCAGAGGGAAACTGCAACAGGATTTTGAGCCAGCCCCAGCCCTTCTGTGCACTTGGACTGCAGCTGGTCAGCGTATCATAACGTGAAACTTGCAGGGCCAGAAGGTCCTGTGGCACCTGGAGAGCAGCAGCAGAAGACAAGCACTGAGGTGGTGGGAACAAACCCCAGGGGTGAGAGCAGACACTAAGGTGGGAGGAGAGAGAATGAGCAGGAAGTTTCCTAAGGGACCGGAATAGCAGAGACTGATGAGAAGAGCAGCTGCAGAGGGATGCTCTGGAAATTAAAGCTGAAACCAGCTGGCTAAAAGAAGCAAAGAAAGATGATGGCTGGGGAGGTAGAGCTGGGATGGAGTGGCTGGAGGTGTCGGTGGAGGAGGAAGGGATAGGGGGGATCTAGAAATGGCCGAGGAGGCAGCTGGGAATGAACAGCCGTAGATGATGGGGAGCAGGCAAGAGGCCAGGAGGTCTTACCGGGAAGCCAAAGCCACGTATGGACAAGGAGGTAAAGCAAGGACAGGAGGAGAGAGAGTAAGAGAAGGAAAAGAAGAAAACAAAACTGTCTATCCAAAACAGGAGCTGATATGGCAAGTCAGCCCTTTGTTATTTTCTCATAATTATGCCGTGGCGGAGTCCAGAAGTACCTGTCAGTGCCGGGTCACATCCTACTTCATGTTGCACAAAATCCTGAGTTTTTACAACTGCCTCACTCAGTGTCCCTTGAAAGCTACCTTATGACAAATCTCAAAGGCACGTGATCCAGCTCAAACATCATCTTTCTTCATCTTTCTGTTTCATATGAAAATAATTGTGTTTTCTCCAAAGAGCAGTTTACTGCTTCTTGGCAATTACTGCAGAATCACCTTAACTTCCACAAGAAGTCCAGCATGTTCCTCCAACATCCTGCCATAGCAAGCAAGCTAAAAATGGCACCAGTATTTCATGCTACAGGCCTTCAGTTCATGTTGGCAACTGGATTTTTCTACACTAAATTTCTCACTATATCAACATTTTTATGTATATGCATTACATGTGTTTAAGGGTGAAAGAAGTGGCAAAGATCTACCTAATTTTCTGCTGAGGTGCTGGTAAAAGCTATTAGTATGAGGAGTTATCATCTAGGGTTAAACTGAAAAGCTGGTGCAACTTTTACAGATTTAGTTTTAGGGGCAACAATATGCTTCAAAAGGTATTATTTTAAAATGTTTTAAATAAACACAATTACAATCACAAAAAAAACCCACCCCAAAACATAACAAAAGATATGAAATGTCACCAAGAACTACTGTGTATTAGTTCCACAACCTTTATTTCAGCTGGGGCGGATGCAGACAGACGCACTTAGGAGCCTAGAAGCCTTTCCCCAGCCGTGCCTCGCGTGACGGTAGCACCTTTTGGCAAAGGAGAGCATGTTCCGGGAGTCAAGCAACCATTTCATCAACATTTTTTCCTGTTGATTTCAGTGGGGAACGCACAGTAAACACACCTTCTCCTGTGAAGACACCCAGAGATGTGGGATCCAGTGGAGTAATTTGTAAACAACTGATTGCTACTACTTGTGAAAAGGATTTGGATCGTCCTGAAGTGAATTCTCTTTTGGGAATTCCCTCTAGATAAGGCAGTCAAGCCAAACAGTCTCCCTGCAGGCACAGCAGGGATCTTATAAAATCTGGCCGAAAGGTGAGCAGACGCTCAGGTTACACAACAGAAACAGAAGATGGGAGATGCAGATTTCCCTCTGTCAAGTGGCATGTTTTCTCAGATGTGACAATTGTGGAAGCTGTAGGAGTGAGGAGGAGGGGGGATCCCACTGGCAGCCTGGTGCAGGGGGGCACAGCGGGAAAGCCCATCCCTCTAGATATGTACGGGCTATCAGCGTGAAGCCAGACAACAGAAACTGCATCAGTGGAAATGCTGGAATTAAAGCAGTACCCCCCAAAAAAGTGTCTTCCTGAGAATAAAATTACCACTCTTCTGTCAATGCGCCAGTCTTTGAACTTATTAAAAATTGATTTAAATTGTATTTTACTCTGTGCTTATGTTTGGCAGTTGTTATATCCTCATTCTTCCTTCAGGCTGAAGAAACTGTTATTCTTGCAGTGTTTTTTTCACTTGCAGACACAATTAAACATTCTGGGAGGCTTCCAGGCAAGTTATAGGAGGACATAACCTGCTGTCAGACCCCTTCTGTCAGTTGGGATCGGCTGTTAAGGGGAAGAACAATCAAGCAGAATGGCAGAATACTGCACCACGACACCACTGAAAAGGGGAAAGGCATATCTTAGAAGGAGAAGAGAGGAAAAAAAAGGTAGAAAAATGCTCTGAGCAAATGAGGCTGGATTGCCAAGGAGGAGGGGAGATCTCTGAAGGGATGCGAAGTAAATAGGAAACAGAACTGAACGCTAGTGAGGCATCAGCAGTATTTCTAGAGCAGAATGGCACTGGCACAAGCCACACTCCACGGCCACAACAGCTACCTTCCCCGCATTTACTGCCGCTTTCTGACAGCAAAAAAAGACCCCGCCTCAAACTCCGCATCCAGCAGAATAGCAGAATATACCGAACCGCTCTCGCCCTTCCGGAGTGCCACAGTCTGCAGTGTAACGTAATTAGCTGTGACCCGACTAAGTGGCAGCTGTTACCCAAGCCGGCCGGCCGGCAGCTGCCGGGAAGCGGGGCGAGGGAGCCCGGGGCGGGGGGGGCTGCGGGCCTAGAGCTGGGGCACCGCCGGAGCCGAGGGGCCTGCAGGGGGCTGGGGGCTCCCCTGCCAGCTCCCGGCCGCCACAGAGGGCAGGGCTCGGGAGGGGGACAGGGCTCGGGAGGGGGCCAGGCCCCAGCTATGTGGCGGGCGGCCCTGCCCCGCAAACCCGGGGCGATCCCGATGCGTGGCACCAACACTCCCCCCGCCTCCCCGCTCCCCGCAGAGGCGGGTGCGTGGGCCTCCACCCTGGGTAGGCCCGGGGGTTCCCAGCCGCGGGGCTTCCTCGGGATGGGAGAGAGGGAAGGAGGGGGCGCAGAGAGGCCTGCGGAGGCCGGAGCGGCCCGGCTGCCCCTCCTCTGCCCCCGCTTCACCTCCTGCCGGCGGGGAGCGGGCGGATGGGCGGGGGAAGGTGGGGAGAGCG